CAGAATTCGGCTTGGAGGTCTGACCCGATTGCGTTGTGGGCGGGGAAGCCGTCCGCGACAGCTTTGTGTACGTCGTTTCCGACTGTGACGAAACAATATGATGAGATATGTACAGGACTAGGGAAAGTGCACGTACAGCAGCAGCCAATATCAAGGAAAATAGCGCCCTCTCGCTCCTTTCCTAGCTTTAAAAGCTGGCTATACCCGGGTAGCCTTGAGATCTTTAGTCTACATAATAACAAGTCCTTCTGTTAGTGTCTGTACGTATGTGACACTGGGAAGTGACGACGACGTACGAAGTAAACGCGAACATCCGGATACAGGGATACGGATAGACCTGTAGATGCAAACATTCGATACATTCGATTGTGAGTGAGTACTGACAACCCATTAGTACTAACCTTGTATGCTTCAGTCTGCACACTAATGATATGCTGCTTCAGGGCCTCATCATCCTGTATTCCCGTCTGCGACTTGAAGAACGCGGCCTCGTCCTCCTTCAGAAGGTACAAGCTCTCATCGAGTTTAGATTCCCCTAGAAGTTTCGAGACTTCTTCTCTTTTTCCGTCAATGCTCTGAATGCCCTCCATGATGAGTGAAGTGGCTGTAGGCGGTTGTTTAGCCCTAGGCTATGGGATGCATATTCATCCCACTCAGGGGCATTATATAGTTCGTCGGAACCCGGTTATATCACATGAGAGCAGGTCCTTTATGACGTTTCGGGGCGCCGGCTTCCTGGATGGTTCGGCAAGAGTCATGAAGGTATGTCGTCGGTGCCGCTGCCCGGCGTCGCCATGTAGATGCGGGTTCTGACGCTTGTTATAGCATAGGGGAGATATAGCGGATACAACAATAGGCGTGTCCATGGGAGAATGGCTGTCCCGAGAGTTGTCCGTTGAATTGGTGGAGTGCGTCTTCCGCCCCTTGTATCTTACATTCCTTTGTGAGGTGTCGAACACTGTAGCTTCGGAAGCGATGATGCTATCAAATCCAGACTCTGTCGTATTGGCGGGTCGGTTGGTGCGGATCGACTAAGCATCAGCTCAATAATAGGCAGCATGTCCATGTCGTCGTTGACTCTGCTATCTGAATAATTGATCCCCACCTCCCACAAGCCGAGTGTGCCGCCGCCGCTGACTAGCATGGATGACTTTCACCGAGATTCTCTTGATTCTCGTCTACCCTGAGCCTTGATCGGCATATACCTCTCATACATTTCTTTCTTGGCTTGAAATTGACATATGTCCGACTTTCCTCAGAAACATAGCGCAGTTTCTATCTTTCCGCTGATACCTTCACGCTTCTCGGCCACCCTTTCCCGTTCACTGTGATGTGTTTACGCTATGCTGCGGTCTGCGGCTGCGCGTGATAGCTCGAGGAACTTGATTGAGTTCAAAGTATATATACCCTCCCAACTTTTCCTAGTGCTGTTTTAGGATGGCATGAGAAAGTGCCAAAATCCCGGATCAGGTGCGTGTGTTATGTGTATGAGCTTGTCATGTAGACGGATGGACTATTATCTTGGCTCACTCATTATCGTCGAAGTGTACGCCAAGCACTGTCCAGGTGTTTCAAGATCCAATGGGACTTCTGCAGCTCGGCCGTACCGGTGACGACAAAATCAAACACTTGCCGCTGGCCCGCTGACGGTCTGCCCTATCGATGATATTGGTTTGATGTGGAGAAATATGTCGGTATCACCTGTTGCTATGCTTACTTTCTATACACGTACGCGATTGGAGTCAAAAGAATAAATTATGGTCCGAGTAACCGTGTTTGAGGGCGTCACCGTGTTCGTCAATTGATTATTTGAATATGAACAGTTCTTCATGATTCGGAGAACATAGTATAAATATTGCGCCGACACGTTCATTCTCATAACTTCCGGCTCTACGACAACACATGACTTGACGAGTCCAACCGTTTAATATATATCGCTATGACTCGATACCGAACAATCATGGGAATTAATATGTCGAGTCATGAATTGGTCGCTACCGTCAAGCATTTTCACATGTGATGTAAATCTATCATATAAAGACAACCTTTGTGCGTCCGGTTCAGCGGAGCATAGCCTGTGAGCTCTAGCTCGTCGTAGCCAGGATATCCGCCATGACGCAATTCAACCCCGACAACGACCCTGTCACCAAATTGTTCGCGAACAACGCGCTCGACGATAGTTTCTACAACCTTAACGAGGCAGAACTTGCGTTTTTCAAGGCACAAACGGAACTGCAGGCTAAGGAAGAACTCAAGCGGCATATTGTTGACATACAAATTGAAGCCTACAAAGTTAGTTCATTCGTCCTTCACATTGTTGAATCTTTCTCACCGAACTGGAACTTCGCTCGAAAGATTTACCCTTACCCCTGCATCCGCATGTTCACATTCACTTCGTACGTGAGCGTTGATCTAGTTACATCGCATCCGTTCATCGAGAAGCACTCGTTCTCCTCTCACCAGGTTAAAGATTTCGCGGCTGCCCGGATACGAGCAGCTTCTGAAGTTGGGGAAAGAGAGAGAAGACGCGGTCTTTCTCGACATTGGATGTTGTTGTGCGTACTTTCCCTTTTTTGCTCCCATCTGCATCTCATTGCAGCTCCTCGTGCGCATAGTCGGAACTGATATCCGCAAAGCCATCGCGGACGGATTCCCCCTCAAAAACTCCATCGCCTCCGATCTCCATGCTCCTTTCTGGGACCTCGGACATAAGTTGTTCAAGTCCACGCCTGACTCATTCCCGGCCCGCTTCATCCCAGGAGACGCCCTGAATGCCTCTTTCCTCTCCATGGACGCGCCGCTCGAAGCTCGTCCATCCGGACCTCGGCCTTCACTCGAGTCCATAACTACACTGACACCTTTGCGCGGGCATGTTTCCGCAATCCATGCGTCCCTGTTTTTCCATCTCTTCGACGA